TTAATGACTCTGGCGACTCGCTTAACAACGGTGGTTAAAAAGAAGCTGGTAAAACTGTGCAAAGCCTCACTTAACAACCACATTAGTTTAACTATAAATTTTTGGTCCCAACTGCACAGGTGGTCCTTGACTTACAACCACAAACTGAGCCAAAAATTTATCTTGATTAAGTGAGGAATTTGTTAAGCGAGCTTTGTCCCATTTTACGACCTCTGTAGCCTCAGTTGTTAAAGTGAACCACCGCAGTTGATTAAGTTGGTAACTCGGTCGTTAAGTGAATCTGGCTTCTCTCATGCACTTTGCTTGTCAGAAGGTCGCAAAAGGGAATCATGTGATCCCCCCTCCCCTGGGGTCACTGCGTCCGTCATAGGTGTGAAAGGGTTGCCAAGCACCCAAATTTTGATCACATGACAACAGGAATGCTGCCACAGTCGTAAGTGTGCAAAAACAGTCTCACCTTTTCCAGTGTCCTCTTTTTCCAGTGTCATTGTAATTTCAAATAGTCACTAAATGAATAGTTGTAAATTGAGGATTAGCTGTATTAACAACTTGTACCTGTTGACACTTGTATTTGATTATTATACGTACAGAGGAGAGAGAGAGAGACACAGAGAGATGATAGACAGATAGACAGACAGACAGACATAGATAATACACACACACACACACACACACACACACACACACAGAAGGGGGGAGGGAGAGAAAGACAGAAAGAAAGAGAAGATAGATACAGAGAGAGATGAAAGAGAGAGAGCCGGAAAGAAACAGAGAAGAGATGATAGATAGATAGATAGATAGATAGATAGATAGATAGATAGATAGATAGATAGATAGACAGACAGACAGATTTTATATACATATACATACACACACACGGGGGTGGCGAGAGAGAAAGACAGAAAGAAAGAGAACATAGATTCAGAGAGAGGAGACAGAGTGATAGATAAATAGATAGAGATAGACAGACAGACAGAGAGATAATAGAGAGAGACAGAGACAGAAAGAAGATAGATACAGAGAGAGATGAAAGAGAGAGAGAGAGATTGAGAAAGAGAGGTTCACTTAACAATTGTGGCAGGAAAAGTCATAAAGTGGGGCAAAATTTACATAACATACGTCTCACTTAGCAACTAGGAATTCTGGGCTCAATCCTGGTCGTAAGTTGAAGATTACTTATACATACATACACAGACTCGCACATGCACACCAATTTCCCCTGGGCATAAAATATAGGTTAGGATTTCCTTGCCTATGCTGACTGATCACATTTAGGTGGGCTTGTCTCCATTGATTTGACTGAAGTAAAAGGATGAAACAAAATTAAACTTGTTGTGGTCTTATTGTTGTTATTTTTTCCCCCGCCGCTCATTATTCCTTTTTCTTTACTTTCTTTGGAAAAATGTCCCTGGCATTTCAGTCAAAGGCTGAGTGTTCTAGATAAATGTGCAGATCTCAGCATAATGGGATTTTTCCCTCCCAAAAAATATTTTACTTGGGATGGCCTGTAATTCTGGTGACCTGCAGTCTTAACTGTCCCTGGGAGATCTCTCCAAAAAGTGAAGATTTATTATGATGATTAATGAAACATGGAAGGTACTCTAAACAACGCTGGGTGGCTTACAATTAAAAAGTTAGTATAGAAAGAAACTGGCTAAGGGGAAGAGAAAGAAAGCCGGTAAAATCATTTCTCTGCCCAAAGGCTCTGAAAAAAACCCTAATTAAATTCCTTCCTATCGGTAGAAGTACGAAGTCCTTGGTGCTCTGTGAGTTCGTGGTTTGCTTGCAGATGTTTCATGACCCAACTAGGTAACATCGTCAGTGCTACAATGGGAGTGGGGTTTGCAGGGTGGGGAGGAGGAGGAGATTTGTGAGGCCGTTGGTGCTCTCTGAGCTTGTTCTGTTTTCCTGTAGACATTTCATGAACTAACTAGGTAACATCATCAGTGCTAGAAGGGAGTGGCAGGTGCTCTGTTTATACCAATGGATTGCCCCTCAAGGTTGGTGGGCATATTTCTTTCTTTGTGATCCGTGATTAGGCTGTTGTTTACTGTTAGCTTGTTTGTCTGAATTGGTAATTTCTTGATTGGGGTATATGTTTGTTGGCCAATATTAATCTCTAGATTCTTCCATTACCTCTATAGTTGGGTCATTGCCTGCAAGAAAGCTACCACCAAGGATCTCACAGCCCTCCTCCTTCTCCTCTGTAGCACTGATGGTATTACCTAGCTTGGTAACTAAATGTCTGCATAATGAAAGTACCAAGGACACCACAGTTCAGTCCTAAGCTACAAATATTCTCATTTATCCATGTTATGTCTCCTCTTGGAGATTCAAACGAACAAACACAAAGCAGCCGTTTCACAATCAAATCAAACTGTAGAAAATAACAAGATAACGGCTGGCAAAAACTGTTAGGACTTCCCTTCAAAATTCAAACAAACAGAGATCTCTTTGCAGTAACGTCCTCATTTAAAATAGACATTTTGTTTCTGGCAAAAGGCACCAGCTCAGCTGTGTCCTTTTATACCCATTAAGGCAACGTGCTAATTAACTGGCTTGCCCTTCAGATTAACGTTCCCTGGTTCTGACGTCAATCCACGATCTAACAGTCATCAGATTCAAAGTTTCTTAACAGGGCCGATCCTGCCAATCACAACACTATCCATATCAGTAGTATCTGTTGAAAACACAACTCCCAGAATTCCTAACTAGCACAGATGAAATCTGAGAAGTCTGTAAGTTGTGCTACTAATGAAGACCAGGTTGAGGAAAACTATGAATTATGACCTGCCAGGAACACAAGGAAAGCTATATCGGTCCTACGTTCGATACTCCCTTAACCTTGTTCCATCTTTCTTGAAAGATTTCTGATCTCCTACCGATGGTTAGATGGATCTCCTCTTGCTGATTGGCTAAACCGTCATAATAATACAGGTCAAAGCGCCGTTCCGTCCTCCAATCTGCCAGCAAATCCTTTTGCAAGCAGAAGAGGACGCTGAAGTGACTCTCGCTGCACACCACCCAAATTGGAAACCTGGGGGTCTTGAGATAACAGCCCACCTGAGCAAAACAACAAGGAGAAGGGGAAAAAAAGTGCACTTATTTAAAATGCCGGTCATTCAGGTCATGGTTGTCCCAAAGATACACAAACACAGGAGAACAAAGCCATCGGGACAAGGTTCAGTGGTCCACCTGCTTTTGAAAGACAAAGGCCGCTCTTTGGAAGACAGCAAAGTCCACACTTTGGACAGAGAGGACCGCTGGCTTGAAAGAGGGGCTCCAAGAGGCCACCTAGGTCAAAATTGAACAGCCCATACGGCATCATCCATCTCCAGTCTACAACACGAATCATTTTAACTGTTCCAGGAAGGCTCCAGGCCCATTTGCACTCTTCAGGTGACCCTGAGGACACAGATAAACCTCCAAGTGGCCTCAAGGACCCTCTAAAAGGATGCAAAGGACCAGCTGTCTGCAAGGAGCATAAATCCTTCCATTCCACACCGTCCAGTCAGAGCCGAGGAAGCTTCTTGGAGGAGAAGGGAAACGTCTTCAGTGAAAAACCAGGAAGTCCAGTTGCCTCTTGAAAAAAGCACCTTTGGGGACATTAATTAAAAATAATCATTGCTTTGGAAGCCCATCAAAAGTGAACGAGTATTTAACCCATTAAAGTCTAATGGGTTCTAGACCTGACAGAGGGAACCATATTAGCGTTACAGAGAAAGAACATAGAGGCAGTCCTTGAGTTATGAATGGTCTCTTAGCAACTGTTCATATGACGATCAAAAAAAAAGAAAAAAAAGAGGTGCAGGCAGTCCTCAACATCCAATCATCTATTTAAGGACCATTCTAAGTTATAACAGCATTCTTAAAAGTGATCGACAATCACCACAGCATCGTCAACATGATCAGAATTTGGGTCCTTGGCTATCAGCAGGCATTTATGATGTCATGGGGGGGTCAGGGGTCAAGTCACGTGATCACCATCTGTGACTTCCCCTGCTGGTTTTTGACCAGCAAACTCAAAGTGGGGAAAAGCTGGTCTAAGGGTTGTATTTTTATTTTTTATTTTTAAAAAGCAAGCTGTGCTGAATTTGGGATAGAAGATTTTATACTGCGTTTCAGGTCCTCAGGCTTTTACAGACGCTTCTGATACTATAAAAATGTTTTAAGTGGTGCTCCAGCTGTTGTTCCTAGTTGTCTCCTGTGTGACAACCCTGACATGGAGGACTGAGAATCTCTATAGATCAGTCCAAAGATCTTAAAGCCCTCAAAACTGAGAAACACATCCTCAGATAACGACTGTATTTTCAGCAGTTCGAATCCCTAGCGCTGCGTAACGAAGGGAGCGCCCGTTACTTGTCCCAACCTAGCAGTTCGAAAGCATGTAAAAAATGCAAGTAGGAAAATTACCTCCCCTTTGGTGGGAAGGTCACAGAGACCTGTGCACTTTTGAAGGCGTTTCGTCATGCCGGCCACATGACCACGGAGACGTCTTCGGACAGCGCTGGCTCTTTGGCTTTGTAACGGAGATGAGCACCGCCCCCCTAGAGCCAGAAACGACTAGCGCGGATGTGCGAGGGGAACCTTTACGTTTGCTTTTACCTGGTTTATTGAAAAGACTAACACCCCCTTCGAGGTTAGCGAAAATGAACCCAAACTCTAGTCCAAAATGTTGGAAATGTAAAAACATAGAGGGAACCTACTTTCATATGTGGTGGACCTGTAAAGAAGCCCAGAAATACTGGCAAAAAATTAGAAAATGGCTGGAGGAGATAACCAAAGAACAAATCGAATACAAACCAGAGTTCTTCCTACTAGGGATCTCTGATAAACATTTTCCTAAAAAGACGAAATATATAATAATTCATATTCTAACTGCGGCCAGATTAGCATTTGCCCAGTGCTGGAAATCATCCTGTTTACCTACAGATCAATTGGTCATTCAGAAAATATGTGACTGCGCAGAAATGGACAATTTAACCATAGCTCTTAAAAATAAAGAGTCTTCAGCATTTGATAATAATTGGAATGTGTGGTATAATTGGTTATATCAGAGATAAACTGTTCAATGAATAATGGGTAATTTAAGCATAAGTAGTGATAAGATGTGTATAATTAAAGTAAGGTAGGAGAATTGGATCTTGCAGACTGTCAAAAAGGAAATCTGTCTGGTTTTAACGTATTTTCTTTTTTCTTCCGTCTCTTTGTTTTTTTTCTTTCTTTTATACTTCTTTTTCTCCTTTTTCGGTCGCAAGACCGAGCTTTTTTTTTTTTTTTTCCTCTCTCTTTCCCTTCTTTCTTTCTTCTTTTTCTCTCTCTGTTGCATATGTAATGTTGTTATGTCATTTTTTAATTGTAAATTCAATAAAATTTATTAAAAAAAAAAAGAAAAGACTAACAAGACATGATAGTAGTCTTCCAATATCGGTCGTAATTTTCATATGTGAAAATCGGTCCTAAGTCACTTCTGTCGGTGAAGTTGTTACTTCGATCTGACGCTAAACGAACGGTTGTTAAGTCGAGGAGTAACGTGTACGAGAGTAAACCTTTTGACCCAAGACCCCAGACGGAATAGCCGAGAAGCCTGGACGGGTGCAGAAATCCCCATCAAAAACAAAACAGGGATGTCGAGCTGATGATTTCTGCCTTTGTGGGTCATTTTGTAAAAAGTTTTGACAGTTGTAATGGAGCCAGGGGAAAAACCAACTTGAAACGTCAACAAAGGAAGAAGTCCCACAATCTGCTTTGGCCAGAGAGGTAAGAGGTGATGCCAGCAGCCAAAACCCAGTTATACTTTTCTGTGAAACTAATTTTAAGAATGGGAGTGTTTGCCGTAACGGTGTTGATTTACACACGTGTTTCTTAATCACAGCAGCTTTAAGGCATGTGGACTTCAGCTCTTAGTATTCCCCAGCCAAGCTTCCTGGGGGATTTTTAAGAGAGAAAAAGAGCCCTAAAACAGACATTAGTTTTGATTCCCAAAGGAATACAATCCTAGGAAAGAGAAACCACAAAGCGAAGGGCGTGTCAGGTGCCAAGAAGAGGAAAAAATAGGATACGGGGGTGAAATCAGAACATGGCAGGACAAAACGTACACTAAGATATAAGCTAGAGTAAAGGGTAAAATGTAAATTAAAGTAAAAATTCAGCAAAAAATAAAGTAAAGAGTAAAGAATAACATAAAGAGTAAAGTAAGGAATAATGTAAAGAGTAAAGTAAAAAAGCAAAGTAAAAAATAAAGAGTAAAGTAAAGAGTAATGTAAAAAAGCAAAGTATAAAATAAAAGTAGAATAAAGAATAAATAAAAAAGCAAAGTAAGAAGTAAAGAGTAAAGCAAAAAGTAAAGAGTAAAATAAAGAGTAAAGAGTAATATAAAGTAAAAAGCAAAGTATAAGGTAAAATAAGAAGTAAAGAGTAAAGCAATGTAAAATAAAAAGTAAGGAGACGAGTAAAAGGCAGGCATTATGGAGGCTACCTAGTGTGGCACAAAGTTAACAGGGAGAAGCACAGAAACCGGAGAAGATGAAATGATTCACCTCTTAAACCTCAGGGGTTTCCACTTTTTAGAAGCTGCAATATTTATCTTGGGATTTAACCTCCTTTTTAGCGTTGGACAAGAGGAATGTCTGCATTTCTGGGTGGATAATTTCAAGGGACTGGATTCCACTTTGGCTTCTGGCCGTGCCAACATCAACAGAAAACAACTCCAAAAGGGTATTTCTGGATTCTTTTCATGCTTCTCCAGTAAATAAAACTGTCCTCCAAAACCCATCAAAATACAGGCAAACCCCCTTGATTTTTAGTTTTTATTATTATTTTTTCTTATCTCTCAGGTGTCTAAGAGATACATCTCAAACTATTAGGAATTCCGGCATGTTTTCGGTTAAATAATCTTTTAACTGATTATAAAGTTCTCATTTAGGGAGAGGAAGAAAATGGAGTGACTGGCAAAAACAATTCCCCCCAAAGACTCAAGTCTTCAAAATCCATGTTTCTACATTTTGGCAACTTGAAGATGTGTGGACTTCAATTTCTAGAATTTGCAGTAGAACTGGCTGGAGAATTCTGGGAATTGAAGTCCCCGTGTCTTCAAGGTAGTGAGGTTGAGAATCGTTGCTCTTGAATACAGACTGATGTGGGAACCGTCTGGGTTCCAATTTTGCAATTTATAGGTAGTCTTTGACTTCATGACGCCATCGGTCTGCTAAACTAATAATTCCCTCCACACTGTCCAACTGTTTGCAAAGTCTGCAGTACTATTACTATTAATCTTCTCATCAGTCCTTATCACCCATCCCCTCCCACTTGTGACTGTAGGACTGTAACTCTGTCGCTTGTATCCTTACGATTCATATTGACTGTTTCCTTGTATGATTTGATTGCTTATTGTACCCTATGACTATCATTAAGTGTTGGACCTGATGATTATTGACTCTTGACAAATGTCTCTTTTCTTTCTATGTACAGTGAGAGCATTTGCACCAAGACAAATTCCTCGTGTGTCCAATCACCCTTGGCCAATAAAAGAATTCTAATTCTTCTAATTTTTAGTGACCGTTTGAAGTTACAACAGCCCTGAGAAAAGTGACTTGTGACCATTTTTTTCACACCTAACGACCGTTTTTCCAATTTAAGAACTGCAGTGATTTGCTTAACAACGGTGGCAGGAAAGGTCGTAAAACAAGGCAAAGCTCATCAACACATGTCTTGCCTAGCGACGAACGTTTTGGGCTCGGTTATGGTTGCTAGAACGAGGATTAGCTGAATTTAAAAAAGGAAGCTATTTGAAAATGGAATTAAGGAGAAAACTGGCGTGCAGAACAAGGCCAAAGGATACAGAAGGATGCAGGCCGGAAGGGCAAATGTTTGGGTTGACTTTGGTGGAAATCTTGTCAGTTCAACTCGAATAAAGTCCTCCTTTTGAGTTACTTGATGGATTGATGAGCTTGGGATAACAGAATAGCAGTTGGAAGGGACCCTGGAGGTCTTCTAGTCCAACCCCCTGTTAAGCAGGAGACCCTATACCATTCAAGACAAAGAGGTGTCCAATCTCTTCTTAAAAGCCTCCAAAGTTGGAACGCTCACAACTTCTGAAGGCAAATTATTCCATTGATTGATTGTTCTTGCGGTTGGTAAATTCCTCCTTAGTTCTAGGTTGGGTCTCACCTTGATTAGTTTCCACCCGTTGTTTCTTCACCTGCCTTCAGGTGCTTTGTTTGGAGAACAGCTTGACCCCTTCCTCTCTGGGGCAGCCCCTTAGCTATTGGAAGACTGCTGTCATGTCACCCCTGGTCCTTCTTTTCATTAAACCAGAGATACCCAATTCCAGCAAACCTTCTCTGTATGTTTGATCCTCCAGTCCCCTAATCCTCCTGGTTGCTCTCTTCTCTGCACTCTTTCTACATCGTGGTGACCAAAACTGGTTGCATTATTCCAAGTCCAGTCTTACCGAGGCCTTATAAAACTGTACCGTCCACTTCACGTGATCCCAGGCAAAGGGGACGTTATACCAGCCTTCCCACCAGCCTTCTCCTTACCTGGCAGACGCCATAATGCTCAAAGAGGGACAGCAAGACCACATCGCTACGCCCACTGATGCCTTTCAGGAGGGTGACGTCGCCATTTCCTGAGTCCAGCTCCATCACATCGTTGAAGACATTGGATACGGCCCTGCCGGTCAGTAGCAAGTTGACCAGTTCCTAGTTTCAGGAGAACAAAACGATGGGCGGATTATACACCAGTTGGGACTTTAGACGGGCTCAAAGAACCCGATACGATCGCTTGACTCCAGAAATGAATTCGAGGGAAAGGAGAAACGTTCTTCCAGTTTTGGGTGTAGGGAAGCTTAATTACAGGTAGGCCTCAATTTACAAACAGTCCGTTTAACGACCGTTCAGTTGCAGTGGGAGTGAAAAATGAGGCTTATGACTGTTTTTCACATTTACAACCAATGGGATTCCCCTTTTGCGATCTTCTGGCAAGGGAAGTCAGATTCACTTAACAACCGCGGGGCTGTAAAATAGGGCAAAACTCATGTAACGCATGTCTCACTTAGCGACAGGAATGTTGGGCTCGATTGTGGCTGTAAGTCGAGGACTGCCTGTATAGATGACAATAGGATTGCATTTAAGCCCCAAATCTCTGTTCGCTAAGTGAGACAGTTGTTAAGTGAGTTTTGCCCCACAGCAGATGAACATGGAACGTTTGGGGAATATGTTTAAAGTTGAGTGTTTCTAAAGTTCTGATTTGAAAAAAGAAATATTAAAAGTAGTGATCTACAACTTTCATCATAGCAAATACAAAAAAAAAAAACCCACCTTAGAGATCCTATACTTCCTAAAAGTTACGATCGCCTTCTTCCCATAATCCATCCCTCATGCAAATCCACAAATTTATTATTTTTATTTTTCTCGGTTTTTACTTTTCTCTTCCCCTTTTCTTTTTCCTTCCCTTTCTCTCTTCCCTCTCTCCCTTTTCCTTCTTGGTTAACTTTAGGTCTTTTTGTTATGTTTTTAATTCCATGAAATTATTCTTTTAAAAAAGAAAAAAAAAAGTTCTGTCTGTTTCTGTTTCTGTTCACGTGGCAAATCAATCCAAATACATCTAAAGGCATGATTGATACAATTGCTGATGAGTAAAGACTGAAGGTGTCAGTGAAAGACGGAAGAGTGATGGGAAGTTACGAATCTGGCTGATTGATTGACTGATTGATCGCAGGGGGTGGGTGCATCAAGACCAGGTCTTGGGTGATAAAAAGGAGGAAAAAGCACAGGAGAAATTAAAAGGAAAGTGGAATTGCAGCTAGTCCTCGACTTACGACCACAATTGACCTCAAAATTTTCTGTTGCTAAGTAAAACATTGGTTAAGTGAGTTTTTGCCCCATTCTTTCTTGCCACTGTTGTTAAGTGAATCTCTGCAGTTGTTAAGTGAGTAACACAGTTGTTAAGGGAATCTGGCTTCCCCATTGACTTGGCTTGTTAGAAAGTCGCAAAAGGGGATGATATGACCCCGGGACCAGGCAGCAGTCATAAATGTGAGGCGGTTGCTAAGCGATCCCATGACCATGGGGATGCTGCAAGGCCGTGACGGTGAACCTATGGAACCGATGGTGAACCTATGGCACGCCGGAAGTGGCACGCAGAGCCATTGCTGCCGGCATGGTGAGCCCTCCCCCAGAGCAGGTCTACTGGGCAGGTGTCCTCACCGCCCGCCTGACAGCTGATTGTCAGGTACCTGGCCTACGATGGGGGGGAGGGGTCACACATGCATGCTCAGGGGGCATTGGGGGGGAGGCTGCGCACATTGCCTTCTGGGTACTGGCATTTGAGCGTGCAGGCACAATTTTCGGCACAAGAGCCCAAAAAGGTTAGCCACCAGTGCTGCAAGGGATGTAAGTTTGACAAACAGCCATCAGTCGCTTTTTTCCAGTGCCGTTGTTATTCTGAAGGGTCGCTCAATGAACCTCTACTGCAGGACGGGTAAAATACAAGTCCCGCTAAGTCAAGGGTCCCCAAACTTGGCCACTTTAAGACTTGTGGACTTCAACTCCCAGAATTGTTGGGAGTTGAAGTCCCACAAGTCTTATTCAAGTGGCCAAGTTTGGAGACCTCTGTCCTGGGTGGACAAAGAAGACCGATTCATCATCAGCCATCCAAAGGAATGGAAAACAGGCGTGAAGAGAACCAGTTTGATCCAGTAATTAAGGCACCGGGAGAGAGACTGGGGGGAGTTTGAGCCTTCTTGCCTTAGCGATGAAAGCTGGCTGTGGTGACTCTGGGCCAGTCCCTCTCCCTTAGCCTAACCCACCTTAAAAGTTTGCCATTGTGTGGAAAATGAGGAGGAGGGAAGTGTGCTGGATGTGTCTGCCGCCTCCAATTATTTCTAAAATTTTAAAGGTGGAGTATAAATAAAATATAATAACATGAAATGAAATAATGAAATGAAATGAAATAGTGAACTGAAGCAAAACATAGTGTAGAATATAGAGTAAAATATAAAACAAGTCAAAAATAAAACAAAATTAAAATAATTAAATTAAAAACTGAATTAAATTAAATCAAACTAAATTAGGAGAGGGCCAGATCAGAGCTTAACTTCCTAAAAATGTGTCAGAAACAAGCCATATTCGAACCTTTCTGCAAGAGTAAGAAGGTGGCAGATTGAACGTGCAGAGAGACATTCCACAGAAGGGGGCCACCACCGAGAAGGCTGCCTTAGGGGATCCCGAAGGGCTCAATTGCCTCTAGGGCAGGAGCTCAGCCAGTTGATGACCGTTCCAGGGCGACACTGGTCAGATAATTTACCCTAGAGTGGGACCCGGTGTTGCCACTTTCCTCGACTTGACCCCTTAGCAACTAACAACTCCAGAGGGACTGGTTCTGTAGCCGGAACCTCCAACTCATGGGCCCCGCTGGGCCCTGTTTACCTGCATGCAGTATCCGTGTGCCCCGATCAGTGGGTTTGTGGTGACATCCACATCTCCACGGACTCTGTTGGGGAAGAGAAAAAAAATCCTCGTCGAAATTAAATTCACGAAACTGGTGCACATTTCTCCTTTTTCTGCTCGAAGTCTGGTTATCGTCCTCGGAAGGTGAACAGGGGTTTGCACAGAAAAATGAAAGCAAAACAGTAAAAAAAAAAAAATGCCAGGAGAATGATAGAGGGAGCAATCTATGTGGGGAGTCCTCGACTTATGACTGCAATTGAGGCCAACATTTCTGTTGATAGACGAGACAGTTGTTAAGTCAGTTTTGCCACGTTTTACGACCAAGCACCTGAATTTTGACCACAGGGGATGCTGCAACAGCCATAAGTCTTGTGGCTTTGAATGATCGCTAAATGAACGGTTGTAAGTTGAGGACTCCCGGGTATGGATGGCCTTGAAGGATGAGGGAAGGAGACGCCGCAGAGAAAACAACCATATGAGGAGCCTCCAGTTGTTCTGTATATGCATTTGCATTCTTGTAAACCTACATCTTGATTGGCTAAAACGCGCACAGCACTCGGATTGGTCGCGTGCGCGGCACTGATTGGCCGAGCCAATCGCGGGTGATTCGAGCGGCTGTCATTGGCTGCGGCGCCCAATACCAGTTCAATATAAGCCGTCGCGCTCCAAGCCGGCAGCCAGATCTAACTTAAATAAAAAGAGCTTTAAACCAGTCACTGCCTCACGTCTCTTCTTGGGACCGATCGACCGACTTAACACCAGTCCCTAAACCATGAGAGCAAAAAAACTTAGAAGGTCTCATCCCAAGCAATTTAAAAGTGGAAGAAGGAAATCCTCTATACACTGCAACCTTTTGGGTATTGTTTTTAAGAAATTAAATATTTCTTAAATTCACCTTTTCACTGAAGAAGAAAAATGAATTCAAACCACAGGATACGTTTTCAGTGGCCGTATTGGGCTTCCCCTAAAACCAGAGGAATTTAACTAGGATTCGGACTAAAAACAGGGGATGTGAAATCACATTTTAAAGTCAAATACTATTTTTTTTTCGGTTGCTTTAAAAAAAAAAGAATCTGATTCTAAAAATAAAAGCAAGGAATAATTGTTATTGTTCCCTGGAATGCCGAACCGAAGCTCGGCATATCGAGGAAGTATTTGGACTAAAAAAAGCTTTTTAACTGCAGCCTTGGAAAGCAAGTTTATCTCACTAAAAAGAAGTTTATATTAATAAACCACCATCATCAAAGAACAATTCTAAGAGTTGATTTATAGGAGGGGCTCTTTCAAAGAATGTCAAGTCCAGAACATGACCGGAAGAAGAAGAAAGTGGAAAGTTGCTGAGATATAACGAGTATTGGTCGGCCGCTGGCCGTTTTTTTTTCCTTGAATGACATCCATGGGATTCCCATGGCTTTGCTCGAAGCCAACTCACGGATGAAATATGCGTCAGTTAGGAGCTCTGGGACATCAAGGGTGAACAATAGAAGGAACTTCTAATCCCATCCATAGTTGCAAATGTTCTGGGAACGCCAAGTTGAGACTAAGACACTGGAGGAGAAGCGACATCTGGGTTTTCCATCGTTTTTCCTAGGGAGGAAATAACCTGCAAACTGAGCGGCACTCCTAGAGGTTGAGGAAGCCTCTTCCCAAGGCCAATATCTCAGTGCATTTGAAGGAGGGTGACCTCAAGGGTTTTTGACCAGCAAGGCGCAGAGAAAATGGAGGAACACACAAGCTACAGAAACTTGCAGAAGTGGCTGTCCACTCTCCAGTAATGGAGCACCCGAAACTTCTGAACGCAAGGTGTTCCACTGGTTAATTATTCTGTTAAAAAGTTTCTCCTTAATTTCAGGTTGCTTCTCTCCTTGGTTAGTTTCCACCCGTCGTTTCTTCTCTGGCCTTCTGGTGCTTAGGAGAATAGGTGGACCCCTCCCCTCTTTGTGGCATCCCCTCAA